GCAATTGTTGTTGTTGTTAGTTGCCATTGAGTTGGTACTGACTCATAACAACCCTATGCACAACAGAATGAAACACTGCCCAGTCCCGGGCCAACCTCACAATTGTTGCCGTGCTTGAGCCCATTGATGCTGCCATATTGCCAATCCATCTCACTGGGTCTTCCCCTTTTTCTCTGACCCTCCACCTTACCAGACATGATATCCTTCTCCAGCAACTAGTACCTTCTGGCAATATGTCCAAGATATAAGAGACGAAGTTTGGCCTTCATGGTCTCCAAGGAGCACTCTGGCTGCACTTCTTCCAACACAGATCTGTTGGTTCTTTTGGCTGCCCATGGCACCTTCAATATTCACTTCCAACACCATAACTCAAAAGCATCAATTCTTAGCTTGATATATTTTTTTCCATCCATTAATTTTTTTTTTTTTTCTTTGTGTGTAAGGTGTGTCTCTTGCAGAGAGTATTTTGAAACAAGGGTCTTGTTTTCTTATCCATTCTGCCACTCTCTCTGTCTTCACTGATGCATTTATTCCATTGACATTCAATGTAATTATCAGTTGTTGTTGTTGTTAAGTGCCGTGGAGTCGGTTCTGACTCACAGTAACCCTGCACAGGGTTTCCGAGTCTGTAAATCTTTACAGGAGCAGAACGCCTCATCTTTCTCCCGCAGAACCGCTGGTAGTTTCGAACTGCTGACCTTGCAGTTCACAGCCCGATTTGTAGGTTTTAATTAATTGCTGTCATTATGCTAATTTTTGTGGTGCTGTTCATTCCTTTGTTCTGCATGCATTCTTGTGCTGAGTTCATGTTTTTTATGCTATTTCTTGTCAGTTACTTCTTAATTTTAATGTTTGCTTGTTCTACTTGGATCTTCATTTTCATGGTAAGTTGTGAAATATTTACTTCTTTGGGGTTACCCTATAGTCTATTAACTTTTCTCTCCATTCAAGACAGTCTACTCTGGTAGCATAGTGGTTACGAATCGGTCTGCGAACCACAAGGTCAGCAGTTCAAAACTACTAGCTGTTTCACGGGAGAAAGATGAGGCTTTCTGCTTCCGTAAAGATTTACAGCCTTGGAAACCCTGTTCAGGGTCGCTATGGGTTGGAACTAACTTGACAGCACTTAACAACAACAACATTGTATCCTGCAATCAACCTGACCTCCTCACCACCTGGATCTCTGTTCATATATTTCCCCCTTCTTTGACATAGTTATTACTTTGGTCTTTAAATGGCCTCACATATCCTCTGAATTTATTGTTGTAATTTTGTTCTGTTCTGAACTCTGCTATCTACCGAGTTCCGGGTGGTGTTGCCACATCTGCCAATCTCTGATCGTTATCTGTTCTTATTGGTTTTCAGTCTAAAGAACTCTCTTTAGGATGTTTTGAAGTGCTAGATTGGTTTTGACAAAATGTTTTGATGGCATCATCATATTTGATTGACAGTTGTTCTGGGCAGACAATTCTTTGTTGGCAGTTTTTTTTTTTGGGGGGGGGTGGAGGGTTTATATATGTCTCCACATTGCCTTCTTGCCTGCATGGTTTCTGTTGGGAAGACAGAACTTAATCTGCTATGCTTGCCTTTGTAAGTAACTGTTCTCTTTTCCTTAGCTGCTTTTAGAATTCTCTCCTTGTATTTGATTTTGGAGAACTTGATTATTATATGTCTTGGTGATTTTCTTTTGGGGTCTATCCTTCTTGGGGTTCATTCATGATATTAGGGAATTTTTCCTCCAGAACCTCCTCAACTATCTCCTCTCTGTACTCTGTGATTCTTCCTATTCTGGAATGCCAATAATTCTTAAGTTATTCATCTTAATGTGATCCAGCATAAGTCTTAGATTCTCTTCAGATTGTTTTTATCCTTTTTTCTGCTTGGTCTTCTATCTTAGCAATATTGAGAGATTTGTCTTCTAGCTCACTGGCTCTGGCTTCCATCTCTTCAATTCTGCTCCTTTGGCCTTTCAGCGTGTTGTCCATTTCTGATATTTTATTGTTAATTATCTGGACATCTTTTTGCAGATTTTGAATCATTTTCAATGCTGTATCTATCTTCTTTGATTGCTCCTGTAGCATTTTCTCGACTTCTTCCTTATTTTCCTTCACCCCACTGTGGAACATTTGGATTTGTCTCCATATCTTTCTTCTGAATTCCTTTTCCGGCAGATCCAAAGCCTGCTCTTCTTCTAATGGTAAAGGTATGTCTGCCTCCAGCTCATTTGTCTCAGTTACTCTTTTCTGTTTTTGGACATGTGCTGATATCTTTTGTTGTTTTTTTTTCTTGGACATTTTCAGTGGTTAGCTGCATTTTCAATGATTAAATGAATATATGTTGCTGTATTGTTAAGCTTACTGTGTGTCTCTTGGTGAATGTGGTCTGGTGATAGGCTTCCCTTTTCATGTGTAATGCCTAGCAGCTTGTTTTGGCTCCTGTGTAGATGGTGGGATATCATGGGGTATGCTTGTAACCTGGTTGTATGGTCAGGTTTGCTGTCTCTTCTTGGGTAATGTAGGGAGAGAAAGCTCCCACCCATAGGAAAAAAGTGGGACCAAAAGGAAAAAAAATCCTAAATGATATAAGGAGCTGGTAGCGTAGTGGTTATGAATTGGGCTGCGAACCATAAGGTCAGCAGTTCGAAACTACCAGCTGTTCTGTGGGAGAAAGATGAGACTTTCTGCTCCTGTAGAGATTTACAGCCTCAGAAACCCTGTACAGGGTCGCTATGAGCCGGAACCAACGCCACGGCACATGACAACAACAACAACAACAGATGATATAAAAGCAGAGACAAAAACTACCACTCAAAAATAAAAATAAAACCATAGCTGACTGACCAGTAGCCTTTGCTGCACAGGTCAGTGTGTGTGCACAGTAGTAACCTCAAGCAGTGAATGGGGGTGTCCACTCGCTCAGCTCCCTCCTTTAGTCACCACCTTGGAGGTGCACAGATAGATATTCAGAAATGAATGGAAGAAAGATTATTCACAATTTTTATCTCAGAAGGTCAGTTAGGTATCTGTATATGCACAACACAATTCTCAAAATAGATGTGTCCTTGTGTATAGTAGTTGGTGTTGGCGCTTGCCTTTTATGTTGGGATTTTACAAGGTGCACATACAGTTTGGCTGTATGGCCAGATCTGCTGTTTCTTGCTAGGTAATTCAGGAATAAAGGGTCCCACCCAGATCAACTTTAGGGCTAAGTCCCAGGGCAGACATCATAAGAAGCAGCCAAAGGATCGACCTGTGGGACAAATGGGGCTACCAGAGACCTCCTCCCTGTGCTGTGGGAAAACTGTGGGTACAACACTGGACCATTTTGGGGGTACATGCCCACCTGCCTGAAGGTGTCTGGGCTGGGCAGTGAGGGTACAACAGAGGAGAGGAGGAAAGAAAAGTGTAAAATCCATCACACCTCTTTTCCCAGATGCTGCTCTATGGTTTTTAGTGCTTAATCATTGGATCAACCTGGCTGTGGCCCCACCCTCTGATCTCAACCTAGGCTGAGAGGCCTACAGGCAGCATCCCAACCAATTCAGAAATTGCTGTGCATTCCGTCCACAGTCAGATTTCTCCACTAGTTAGCATGGGAAACTGATGTCCCCCACCTTATATTAGATCCAAATATTTGGAGCTGCTCAGGGAAAGTGCCTTCTCTGTTTATTCCACACCTCTGCCGAGGAGCCTCTCCTACCTGTCTCTGCTTCTCCCACCCCCAAACTGGAAGTCACAAATATATATTTTTAATCACTATGCTGTACTGTCCTCATTTGAAACCATCCCTAGGCAACAATCTTGTTTAGGTCTTTGCCATCATAGTCCCACTTTCAAAGTAGTCATACAGTCATTGCCTTTTGTGTGAAGAAAATATGACTTTCCTAGGACAATACACTGAAAGATTTCTTGATAGGTTGTGCATAAGTTTCATTTTATTAGCATGGTAGATAGAATCTTGTTGGGAAATAAATATAGTAGTTTAGTGTGTTGCAGAGGAACAAAAGAGAATGAAGCACATCAAAACAATCTGCAATGGTTTGTAGCATCCAGGACAAATTTAAACTCAAAAGAAGTGTATACTTTTTGAAATGGAGTCCTGGTGTGGGGCTGTAGGACAGGCACTGGACTGTTAACTACAAGGTTGGTGGTTCAAACACACTAGCTGCTCCTTTGAAACTTTATGCAGGGACACTATAAGTCAGAATTGACTCAATGGCACTTAACAAAAGCAACAGCTTTTGAAATAGCAAAGCATTTATATTACAAACAAGACTAAAGTATACATAGAAGTTTAACATACTCCTAATTTCCCTTCATTGATATTCATTAGTGAGTATAGGATAATGCTGTTCACCAACCAACAATTTTATGTTGATTTAGGTAATTAAGAAATTAGAGAGTTGCTTCTCTCCAAGATTCACAGATTAATGAAACCAGAATATTTCCTCTTGGTGTAGACTTAGGTTGGGGTCTACATCACATTATAACAATCAGTCATTTTAATAGCCACAGAACCATGACTTCTAGTCAAGTGTCAGCTGAAGTTTGGATAATGTCATGAAATGTACAATAATATAGTGTGAAACATTCAAGGCAAGACTGAATAAAATGTAGAGAACTGAGATGGAAATGGATCATAATTGCAAAATATTAAGAACTAAGGTTCAAGATGGTGTCTGGGTTTGAAGGCTTGTTAATGCCAAGCAGTAGGAGCTCATAAAAACTAAACAAAGGTGATGACTGTCTTGTAGAAACCAGGTGAATAGTCCTTAATTTCACAAGCCTATTTTATAACCTCTGCCATACATCTGAGACACGGGGATAACCATACATTATTTTTTGTCCTTGAGAGTACTTGATCTAATCTGTTTCCATTTGGAATTGGCAGGGTCACCCAAGTGTATCCAAAAACGTTTCTTATTTGTTTGCTTTCTTCTAGAAAAACATGCAATGATGATATTCCTTATTTTGTGTTTTTGTTTTGCTTTCCTTCAACAGGTTGTTATTCAGGGTCAAATGATTACAGGTCATGAAGAGCATGAAGTCATAGCTATTGATGATGTATCTTTCAGTTCAGGCTGTCTTCCGGCAAACGGTAAGAACTTCTTTCACTCTCACCTTTACTGTATAAAATAAGGTGAGTACAATTTAAATACTGTAATGACTGTTTTGTGTGCTTTGTATTTTTAGCTATTGTTTTGGAATGGTTTACTTTCTACTGTTCTAATCTATTGTATAACAGTGACTAGATTTGTGCTGGAAGTGAAGATGGGCTGTTTTTCACTGACTCTAGTAAGAATTCCATGGAATAATTTAATCTTAGAATTAAAACTGTCTAGTAGTAGCTACACTATCTGGTTAAATTTTACCAAAAAGAGCTCTGTGCCTTTTAGGAAACAGTGAAACTGACCTTCATAGGCTTTAATATGCTTTCTTAGAGAATCAGCCAGACCCAGAACCCCACTGTGAGAAAAAATTAGAGAGACTTACTGGTTACTATCTATTGAGATGAAATGACTAGATAAATAAGCCACATGTATCAGATCTAAAAAAATGTCTATATTGGTCCCTTGGCTCTATTAAGTAAATAATATTTAATTCCTCATTCACAATGTTATGTAAAGAAAAATTCATTGTTAAAATGATAATTTGGTTAAAATAAAAATATATAGTTTAGTGTAATGAAGCAAGAACCAGGTATTTGGATGTTTTTCCCTTTAAAGAACTTTTATTTTACTGTGGAATAATGCAATAGAGTAGTGACAGCTATTTTCTAGAGAGTGGTTCAAGTTATAATTTGGCACAGAGATGTGATACTGGTGGTATGAAATAATATTATAAATAATATCTCAAGACCAGAGAAGTGATTAAGGATGCCTATGCTGTGCCTGGGTTTTAAACAACACTCCTGCCTGATTGTATTTAGCTTATAGGTATGTATGTCTTGTTACTCAGTCCAAGTTTGGGTTTGGCAGAAGCTGGTGACAGCCCCTTCCAACACTTGAACATATAAAGATCTCTTTCATCTCTTTCATCAGTGCTCTGTGTATATTAGATAAGAAATCACTATATTATAATTGAAATGGACATGGAGAATTGGAGAGCTTTAAGAAAATAGATTGTAACACTCCCATACCCATAATTTCTAGAAGTAAGTAATTGAATTTTTCACAAAGGCAGTCAGTTAATCACTATGAATTAAATGATTAATCATCTCAGTCAAAGAAGGTCCCCTCCTCACCCCATTTTCTAATGCTAAGTTTGAATTCTTCTGTAGTGTGATGGGTACTGTGGGAAATGCCTGAATGACTCTATTCTGCTGTTGCTAAATGCTATAGGGTTGGTTTTGACTCTAGTGACCCTGTATAGGGTTTCCAAGGAGCAGCTGGTGTATCTGAACTGCTGACCTTTTAGTGAGCAGTCCAGTGCTTATCTTACAGCACCACAGCAGAACTTCAAATTACTCTATGATATTGTTGATATTGGAGTCTCAGTGTGTCACCATAGGATAAACACTTAATTGGAAGGTCTGTTTGAACCACAAGGTTCGTTTGAATGGAAAACTTGGTGGCTCACACTCACCAGCTACTGCTCAGAAACCCTCTACAGGGTCAGAACCCATTTGATGGCACTCAACATCAACAATATTGCTGATACGTAGAGCTATTTAAAAATAAACTTTCCTACTGTGTGTGTATTTCTATCAGTACCTCTTGTCAGGTTGGTTCCTCAAGCAGCTCTGGCAATGTTTAACTAAGAGTAGCATAGAGTCTCTAAATGATTGTCAACCTATTTTTACACAACTGAAGAAACTTGTTGAAGGAGTTCCTCTTTTTTAGGAACTTTATCATTCAACTTGAAAGGGAGCATAACACATTAAATGAAGTAGCATTATATTTTTCCTGCTTCAAACCATAGAAAACATGTTTTGACAAGGTTAAAACAATATTAAAACACACTGTCATCCAGGTGATTCTGGTACATACCGACTCTATTGTTGTTGTTTAAGTGCCATTCAGTTGATTCTGGCCCATAGTGACCCTGTATGGTGTTTCCAAGGAGCGGCTGGTGAGCTTGAACCACCAACCTTGAAGTTCAGACGACTTTGCAGTCTGATGCATTAGTCCACAGTGCCACACCAGGACTCCTTGGGATGGAGTAAAATGCATTTTCAAGAATAATTCTATTTAGAAGGATCAGTGTGAGACTGGTCCCTATGAGGTGGAGGTTAAAAACATCCCACATGTCTGACTTTTCCAAAGTGTTATACAGCTCTTTGATCCTGGTTATCACTACTTCCCTTCTCAGTATTCTCTTCCATGTCCCAGAGCTCTGCAATTTGCTGCAACATCTAACATAAGTCGCCGGTGGTCAAGAAATGGCTCACTCTGTTGTGGAGGCTGGCAAGTCCTAAATCTGAAGTTCAGTGTTAGTTTGGAGAATTCTCCTCACTGACTCAAATGGGTCTGTTGACTCACAAGGTTTATTGGTTTGTAAGCTGTCAAATCAGGTTGAGCTACTGGCTGAAGTAACAAGAACCAGAGATTAGATGGAGACGAGCTTGGATACTCAAGCAAAGGTGCACACCATCCACTCTCATAACCTGTGTCTCATTTTATATCTAGCAGGATGACAAATCTGAGCAAGCCCCTCCTTACATTTCCAAGTTTTTACAATTACAAATAACCCTGTTAAAATAATTTGCAACTGAAGCATATGAGGGTGAATCAAAAATTATCCATACTCTGGCTGTAGAATTTAATCAACTTTTAGAAGTGACAAACACAACATTTTTGGACGTCTCCTTGCTTTTCAATATACTTTGTCCAAATGTTTTTCACTGAGCTGCAAACCTCAAATGCACCACTATCTTCACTTCATCAGAGGTGAATCTTTGTCCTTGAAGGGCTGCTGTAAGGTGAAAGTCTGATGGAACAAGTCAGGACTATAGGGTGGATGCTTTAACACCACCAAACAAAGTTTTTGCAGAATGTCAATGGTGTGGGTAGAGGTGTGACAAGGAACATGTATTATCATGTAAGATCACAGTGCCTTTGGATAGCAGTCCTTTATACTTAATCCAAAGTTTAGGCTTCGGCTCTTCAGTGAGCATTTCACTGTAACAAGCACTGTAGATCGTTGAACCTTTTTCCTCATGGTATTCTAATAACGGCCCTCGAGAATCCCAGGAAACTGTAAACATCAATTTTCCAGTTGATGGTTGACTTAGAACTTTTTCTTGGTTGGCATTTAAGGATGTTTCCATTCTATGGTCTAACATTTACTGTCAGGCTTGTAGAGATCAATCCATGTCTCATTAATAAAACAATTTTTTTTTTTTTTTTTAAAAAGAAAATTTTATCTTCCTTTGAGTATTGGTCCAAATTTTGTTTGCAGACATCCAAATGCTTTTGTTTATGCTCCTCTGTAAGTTATTTTGGTATCCATCTCACACAAACTTTTCAAAACCTAAGTCTGTCATGGATTATTTCATAGGCAGAATCATGGCTAATTTGCAAATTATTTGCCAAATAATCCAGCCACTCATCTATTTGACAGAATCATTTCACATTCACGTTCATGTTGTCATCAGCTGTGGACGTGGATGGGTGTTTTAATATAACTGGAGTTAAGATAATTTTTGACTCACCTTTGTGTAATTGTATCAGTGTTTTTCCCACCTTAGCTTACCCAGACCCAGGGGGAAAAAGTCATTTGGTGGCAGTTACAAAGGCATGGCTAGAAGAGATATATTAAATAATTCACTGCACTGTGCTGTTTCTTAGGGTTTCTGAAGCTGTAAATCTTTATGGGATCAGACTGTGACATTTTTCTCCTACCAAGCAGCTGGTGGATTTTTTCTGCCAAAATTTTGGGTAACAGTCTAATTCTTAGCTCACTTAATAATTAGCTCAGTTAATACCTAACTGTTAATACTAATCTCTGTCTACTTACATGTATACATAAACACATTTATAATGAAAATGATGGACATTTCATTTAATTATTTTTTTAAAGCTTTAACTACCACAACTCTTTCTGTTATACAGAATTATTTTCTTGAATAAAATTATTGAGAATTTAGAGATGTGTCTAAAATAGAGAAATAAAAACCTTTAGTTGTGGAATTGTAGAGGAGCACAGAAGTAATTTGGAACTTTTCTTTAAAAAAATATATTTTTTTTTTCCTGAAGCAAAAGCCACAAAATTTTCTTTTGATATTTCACACTGTATAAAATTTCTAATAAATCGATATGCATACTTCTATCCTGTAGCAATCTCTCTACTGTGTTTTCTATTTACTCTCTCTTAGTCAGGAATTCCTCTCAATACTGTGCCTATCTATTCCTTGTATCTACAATTTTATCTCTACTGACACCTTTCTTTCAGCATATTAGCAAGTTCAAGTTAACACAGATCTTGAAAACAAATTTAGGGGGGGCATTCTTTTTTCTCATTTTAGCTGGCAGCTTCCTAAGGTCACCTTCACCAGATGCTTGACCAATGGTGTCAAATAGAGCTACAATGCAAACCACATAAGGCATTTAAAACCTTCTTGTTGCTTTAATAAATAAGTAAAAAGAAACAGATTAAATGAACTTTAATGACATACTTCAGATAAAGCAATATCCAAAGCATATAAACAAAATAAAAACATTTTAAAGAAGACAGCTTGCATTTTTAGTACTAATTCTTTGATAAACTATAGTTTATTTTATACTTCCATCATATCTATTGTTTTTGTTGTTAGATGCCGTCAAGTCAGTTCTGACTCATGCTAGTATTTTTTAAATCCTTGGTTTAGTGTTTAATTCATGTTTAGTGGCTACTATGTTAGACAGTAGAGTTCTACCTACTAGGCATACAACTATTCATATTTTGAGGACCAATACTCAGACTTGATCACAGTTCCAAGCCTCTAATTGGCCACTAGAGGGTTCGGCAGAGTTTCTATTTTTTTCTAGCTTCTGACAGAGTTTCTTTATGGTTTATTCCTATCTCTCAAGTTATTTCCCCAGCTCCTATTCTTCCACCTATCACCTTAAATATCAGTATACTTGGAATTCAGAACATGAATCTCTTTTCTACTTTCTG